TCCACCACCGCCATCTTGTCTCCCTCGTCGGATATTGCATCGCCGGCGACCGGAAGATGTTGGTTTACGAATTTGTCCCTAATAACAACCTCGAATTCCACCTTCACGGTACGTTCCCCAACACTTTTAACCAGTTATAAATAGAATAATTTTAGTGCCTTATAATTATTTGGTTTTATTTTACTTCTTAAACTTTATACATGTTTAAAATTTTTAGAAATAATAATTTTAATCAACTTTAAAAAAAAACAGTCATTTAATTATTGTTATATTATTCTAGATACTCTCGACGTATATGTGAAATAGTTACTATTGAAAATTTAGGATATGAAAATAGACATTGAAGGACCGTAATCAAACATATTTAAAAATTCATGAACTAAAATAAAATTCAAACCTTTTAAAAAATTGTGATGAGTTGTGGGTATATTCTTTTTAGGTAAACAAATTTATTTGGTGAGAAATGACTATTTTTGTTACATGGTATGTTTTCCTCTCAAAGTTTACATTTTTTTAGTTCAAATATAGCCACCTGAGTAGCAATTCTGATCCATACTTATTTTTTAACTACTTGATTTTGTAGCTAAGTTGAAATATTTTTTTAGATGAAGTTTTGAACATTTCGATAACTTGAATTTCATGTTTTATTGTGGAACAATGATGTATTAATTATGAGTTTCTGTATTACAGAATTTGAAATTTAAGGTTAAAATTAGGTTAAAATATTAATTTGGTCCCTTACTTTCAGCTTTAATTCATTTTAGTCTTTATACCTTAAAAATGTTGGTTTTGGTCATTGGTTTATTTTAGTCCTTATATTTTGAAAATTTTCATTTTTGTCCCGGTACTTTTAAAAATGGACCATTTTAATCATTTAATTTTATTTCAAAATTCATTTTTTCTATCACAATTTCAACACCACACTATAATCAATATATTTATTACAATGTAAACATTACTTTATACTAAATAGTATTGTATTTAAATCTTGCAAAGAAGGTTTAAAATGATCATTTTTTAAAAGTACATGGATCAAAATGAACATTTTCAAAGTACAGAACTAAAATGAACCAATACTGAAAGTACAAAGATCAAAATAGTATTTTAACCTTAAAATTATCTATATAGAAAGGATAAAAGGTAAAAGTTTTCTCATAACATAACACTTCTTTCGTTTCTTTTCTTTTTTTTTTTTATCATACACTTAGTTTTTATTTCTATGATATTTCAAAAGGAAAAGATATTTACCTTACATTTTCATGAATTTACAGAAATCTTAAATAATTTAGGGACGAAATGAGAATTTTTGAAATGTGTAAAATTACAGGAAAGGGGCGGGCACCGATGGACTGGGCGACCAGGATCAAAATTGCTTTGGGCTCTGCGAAGGGCCTGGCCTATCTCCACGAAGACTGTAAGCATTATTTTGATAGAATTAACTTTTTTATTTATTTATAATTTTAAGAGATATTTATTATAATAACCATCAGATAATTTAATTAAAGTTTTTGGGCACGGCTTGCAGGTCATCCTCGCATCATCCACAGAGACATCAAGACTGCAAATATTCTCATAGACATGAGTTTCGAAGCTAAGGTAAAATTATATTCTGTTTATATATTAAATTAACATAAATATAAATGTTATTTATCAAAATTTTAGCAGGTGTCTTCCCATTATTAATAAATAATTACATTTTTCTTCACTTCTGGTAAAAGGTGGCTGACTTCGGATTGGCGAAGCTTAATCAGGATAATTACACTCATGTATCCACTCGCGTCATGGGCACATTTGGGTACATTCGAATTTCTTTCATTTTAATTTTTAAGTTAAACATTTGTTTTATAAGCATATAGGAAAAAATAATTAAATGTTTCATCCAAAGACATTTTTAAAGTATTTTTATCTATATTAGTGACATGTTTGAGAATTATTTTAGCACGGTTATAATCACTTTCACTAATGTCAAAATTACTACTATTTTGAAATGACATGTTTGGCACCAATTTTCAAGTTGGTTTTGGAAGAATAAAAAGTCACGATTCCCGATCAATCACTTGTAAAATTTTATTTTTTCATTTCTAAAATTTTTGTTGCTCTCTAATTTTATTTATCTTTAAATTTGTCTACTCTCTCCATTCTTTTCTGTAAAATTTTTGTTACATCTTTCTAACATTTTGTTCTCATTCCTTTTATAAAATTTTTTATGTCTAAAATTTGTATGTCTCACCTTCTAAAATTTCTCTCTCTAAGACATTTGTTCCTCTCTAACTTTTCTAACTTTTCTTTCTCTAAAACTTTGGTTAAATTCTTTTTTTAAACTTTAAATATTAATCAATCAAAATCACTTTTAATTAAATATCACTTAAAAAGATGTTTAACGAAACGTTAAAATAACTAATAGAATTCACTCAAGTAAAAATCATATTCCATAAAGTGCTTCTTCCTAAACTAGTTTTGACTTTTTCAAAAGCACATATAAATGACATCTAAACATGATAATTTTGAGCAGACAGAAGACAGTATCAACATGACTAAAACTAGTTTCAAATCTAATGAAAAGGTTTGGGTTTTAGAATTTATGAAGTTAAATGTGGACGGTGCAGATACTTGGCTCCGGAGTACGCATCAAGCGGGAAGCTAACGGATAAATCCGACGTGTTCTCATATGGCGTAATGCTTTTGGAACTGATAACCGGAAGACGACCGGTGGACCCGACCGGCGACATGGAGGACAGCTTAGTGGACTGGGTTTGGAATTTAATTAATTAATATTATTTATATTATATTTGTGTCCACATTAATTTTGATTGGAAATTAATTAATTGCAGTCGAGGCCTCTTTGCTTAAAAGCAATAAATGATGGAAAGTACGATGAATTGGTGGACCCACGGCTGGAGAAGAACTACGATGCCCAGGAAATGACTTGTATGGTCTCTTGCGCCGCTGCCTGCATTCGCCACTCTGCCAGACGCCGTCCCAAAATGAGCCAGGTCATAATCAATTTACTTTCTTTTTTTCTAGAGAATTAAAAAATAAAAAATACGATGATTTAAATTAGAGAGTGTTGTACGACAGGTCGTTCGGGCGCTGGAAGGCGACGTGTCGCTGGAGGACTTGAACGAGGGAGTGAAGCCAGGTCAGAGTTCGTACTTCGGGTCGGGCACGTCGTCGTCGGAGTACGACGCAATCTCGTACAGCGCGGACATGAAGAGGTTCCGGGAAGTCGCGTTAGACAGCCGCGAGTATACGAGCAGCGAGTACGGCCTAAACCCATCCTCCACCAGCAGCGAAGCGAGCCGGAAGGCCAGCCACCTCTCCTCCCCCAAATTACCGCCCTCCGACCCCTAAATTTTGGGGGCCCTAACTCTCCTTTCGATTAGCGGAAAGAATTCTTCTTCTTCTTCTTCTTCTTCTTCTTCTTCTTCTTCTTCTTCTTGTTTTTCGATTTGTCGATCGTGTGGTTTTTTCTTCTTGTTGTTGTTATTTTGAGAATGGATTGTCCAGTACGTGGTTTTAAGAGAACGATGATCGTCGTCGACATTGCTGAAAGCTGGACCGGCGGATCGATGAACGTACGCTCCCGATTTGTTTAAAATCTTAGGATGGGGCTCTCCCTGAGTTTGTAACAGTGACACACGTTATTCATTTTGTTCAATGAATCATGTTGCGTGGATGTTGGTTCGGTTGTTTATCCTCTGTTTCGTCTTTTATTTTATTTGGTTCATGTCCGTTGCTATGGTATATGTTTGATTGCTGAATGTATTACAAAACTTTGTTTTTGTTTTTGTTTATTAATCGTGGTCGAAGTTATATCAATCCATATTTTATTATATACACTTAGTTCTCATTTTTTAATAAATTATTTCTAGGACTAGTTTCATATCTATTTTATTTTTTGTTTTATGCCTTTCCAAATTAAATTTATTTATTCTAATACTACTTTCACTCGTCTTTTCTTCTTTTTTTTTTTTTTGCTTTTGCTTTTTTGAAATTGCTTTCGTAATCTAAGTCACAATTTGAGAAATCGTGGTTGTGTTTTTAAGAAATCTTAAAAACATATTGTTGATGTCGATTAGTGGGCAAGCATTGCGTAAGTGTCACAATAAGTGCCACAGACGTCTTCATTAACCAAGCGTTTGGTTATGCTTTCATGTCCAAGCTCGCTCGCATAAATATGGCACTAGTGTGATGCTCTATCGAATGCATTTTGGTGCTTAAGTTAGAACTCAAGTTGGAAGCAAATGAGTACGAAACACGTAGAGTAGAGGTGCAGTAATCTTGAAGGTGAGAGTCTACTTGGAAGTGCATGTCTAATTCTCACAAGAAGTTAGGTAGGGAAAATCGGATTACCTTTGATTAGGATTGCTCTTTTCTTTGTATATGGAGATGAGAGGGTGACTTAAAAAATGTAGAGCGAATATAGATGGTGGTATGTCGAGCCTAGAGACGATCGTAGGGACCATCAATGTTCTCTTTCCTTTTGTGGTCAGTAAAGGTGGGTCGCGGCGGCGTCTTGGTGATTCTTTAAGGCGTATCTCGATTTCAGTGTAGGGTGTCAGCACCCTGCTCACTTAACTATCCTTCGTACAGATCGTTCAGGTGCGCTCGTAATTGTACTATGTGTGCTTGATCGTCTAGGTGCACTCGTAATTATACTATTTGCACTTGGCTTTTACTCGATCTTCTTTCCCCCAGCCCATGTGGCCGGACGAAATTGAGAGGTGTGGTGTCTTGGATTTACCCAATGACAAATATTAAAGAAATTGTGATCAAACAAGCATAGTTTTTTTTTAAATAGAAAACTAAAAATGAAACGGGATTAATAACCAAAGTTCTATCTTTCATAACCAAATGTATGTGTAATTCGTGGCTTATAATGAACTTTAGACCAGATTTAATTATATATAAAAAAAAGAGTAAAAAAAGGTACAATAACAAATCATGTTGTATTTGATTATATTTTCTTAAAATAAAATTTTATCAGTTTTTCATCAAGACTTAAGCTAAAAGCAGTATACAACCTTTCTCACTAGTGACAAAGCAGTTTAAGTAGCCTGTTTCTATATTTTTTTAAAAATATTTTTATGTTATCCTCAAACATGATTATTTTGAGTGAAAATTAAAACAAATATTTTTTATTTTGTCAAAAAGTGTGAACTAAACAAATATGTTATCTAGTAAGGTGATATAAAATAGTGAATCCAAACTTGATCCATTGAATTAAGCCATATATTATTTAGTACTTTTGGCTTGCAAATATGTCTTAGCATGCATTTCTTTAGGCTCGCTTGACTCAACATGATAAGAATAAAATATGCCTATACTTGTTTGAAATTAATTTAGATGTGATACCAATTCCACTAAAATTCATACTTTATGTCAACCTACACTGCACCTTTAGTATGAAAAGATCAATGATCTCACATGAATTTGAGTATTACGAGAGTTTATGTGATACTAAACATAGTCAAATGGTTAAAAGCATCCATAATAAATATTTATCGGTCTAAATATAGTATCTTACTTTTAAAAAAATGGATTGTTCAATTACACTGTTAGAAGCAATATCATAGTATTTTTTTTTTTTTGGTTAAAATGCTATTTTGATCCTGTACTTTAAATTTTGATTCATTTTAGTCTATATACTTTGAAAATGTTCATTTTGATTCATATGAACTTTGGTTCATTTTAATCCCTATACTTTGAAAATGTTTATTTTGGTCTCTGTACTTTTAAAAACGGATCGTTTTAGTCATTCTTTGAAAAACTTTAGCACAAATTTTACATATAGAAACTCTTTAGTATTGATTGTAGTCGCGTAGAAATTATGATAGAAAAAAAATGAGATTAAGCATAAAATTAATAGACTAAAATGATATTTTTTTAAAGTATAGAAACCAAAATGAATAATTTAAAAGTATAAGTTCTAAAATAAATCAAAAGTGAATGTACGAACAAGCTGAATCAAAACAAACCATGCAAAAACCAGATTGAACCAAACTAAACTTCATTTTTTTTAAATTCAAATATCTAACCTTATTCCAATTTTAGAACTGTAGAAAAATTTTAAAAAGTAAAACTTAATTCCTAGAGTACATAATTAATAGATAAATGTTACAAAAATTAATTTGCAACGTCCAAAATTGAAATAAAATTAACCGAAATTTCCACGGAGGCACGTGTTAATTCATAATTGGATTGGATCTACCTCACAGTTGTCGTAAAGAAAAATTGTGAGGTTTGGAAATTATTATTATTATACACATAACATAACACACCCGCCAATTCCCCTTCTCCGCCTTCTTCCGACTCCATCCTCTCTACGTTACATCTTCCTCTTCCTCTCGTTCATCTTCTACTTGGATCTCACTTCCACAGTTTCCCAATTTCAATTCCAGGCACGGAGGAATTTCCTGCTACTCTTCCTCTCCGATCTCTCAGTGGTTCGTCAGATCCTTCCGCCATGGCTCAGCCTCTCGTCAAGAAGGATGACGACTACGACGACGAAGGTACTCACTTCACGCTCTTTGGATTACGATCACTTTCTTTTCCCATTGCGCTTTCGGAATTCGATCTGGATGTTTTGGCGATTTGGATTAGTTTCCTGATTTTCTCTGTGGCTGTTTTTGTCTCAATTGTCTGTGGTTTCGGCAGATCTCAGTGATTTAGTAATGTTAGTTCAATCGAGAACGCGTTGGTCTCTCCATGCTGATCTAGTCTCTTTTGTTGATTGTGTCAAATTCTATCTTACTCTGAATGTTTGGATTATAGTATTCATATTCTTCGGGCTTGAATTGAAATGTATGTGAATGTTGTCACAATTTGGTGGAATTACCTACGTTACTGAATACTGAGTCACTAACATATTGGTCTCAACGTGTTGATCTAGACTAATTTTGTCACTATTTTCTGACGCTGGTTGGGTATTATTTTTGCTTCTCAGAGGAGTATTCTCCGTTTTTGGGGATTGAGAAAGGTACTGTTCTTCAGGAAGCAAGGGTGTTCAATGATCCTCAGCTAGACACAAGGAAATGCTCTCAGGTATATATGCTTCGGACCCATGGAAATGGTTGATATTAGGCATCAATCTTTCGTTTCTCCTCAGTTTTTGATTTTGATCACTTTTGTCTTGTATTTAGGTCATAACGAAGCTTTTGTATCTACTGAACCAAGGTGAAACCTTCACAAAGGTTAAGTTGCCTCTACTTCAATTGCTCATCACAATTTTAGTTATTTTTCTTCCCAGTTTACGTTTGCCATTTACAAATGAATTAAGAGTGTCGATACATGCATGTTTTTCCTGTGTGTTCTTTAAGCGGTTGGTTTCTCATTATGTTCTCTGAATTATTGTAGGTTGAAGCTACAGAAGTTTTCTTTGGTGTGACTAAGCTTTTCCAGTCTAGAGATATAGAATTGAGGAGAATGGTTTATTTAATGATAAAGGAGCTCTCTCCCTCTTCTGATGATGTTAGTAACTGTTCGATGTTATTTCATGAGTTTATATAGTTATAAATGGAGAAATAAACTGACCATTCTTGAATTTTCAAAATTAAAGGTTATTATCGTGACGAGCTCCCTGATGAAGGACATGAACAGCAAGAATGATATGTACCGAGCTAATGCTATACGTGTACTTTGTAGAATTACAGATGGTACCCTTCTCACTCAAATTGAGCGGTATTTGAAACAAGCAATTGTAGATAAAAACCCAGTGGTCGCTAGTGCAGCCTTAGTTAGTGGGATTCATTTACTACAGGTATTATCTAGTCATGATTAATTGTAGATGTAGAACTATTTTTAATATATTAATTCTTTTTAAAATTGTTTTGTCTTTTTACTTAGACCACCCCAGAGATTGTGAAGCGATGGAGTAATGAGGTTCAGGAAGCTGTTCAGTCAAGGGCACCACTCGTACAATTTCATGCTTTGGGTTTGCTTCATCAGGTATGCCAAATTTAATATTTAATATTTTTTTTAACACTATTGATTTATTGGATAAAGGTTTTGACTTAGATACTTTTATACTTGATGTGCTAGTACTGATATTACAGTGGTGATTAGCCTGATAGCTCTTGCAGTTTGCCTGCCGTTATTAAATTTGCCACCTACCATTACTTATTGACCTCTTACAACGTAGTGATTTTAAGTGAACTTGTTTTCAAATTTGTAACTATTCCTTCAAGATTTTATTTGATGTAGAGAGTTCACAGTTATTTGTAAGCTATCAATACTCTTCTTTTGTGTTTTTTTTTTCACGAGATACAAAATTTTTATTGATGACTGAAAATAAGCAAAAAGTGTTCAATGATACCAACTGAGAAAATGAATGAGAGAAAAACAAAAGGAAAGAACATTGTTTCCTAAAAATCTTTCTTTTTCCGAACATTAGTAGTAAAAAGCTGGATATCACTGCTTTTTATTTTTATGTTATTTGCAGTTTTTCCGCATGTGTACGTCTCTAGCAATGCCACACAAAAACAGGGCTGGGTTATGTTGAGAATTTTTCTTAAGATGAGTGTGAAATTTGTTGATATTGGACATTGGTGTTTGATTTTATGTTTTTCTGGGCATAATGGATACCATTGATCTCTGGGTTAGGATTGTTTTGAATTTAAATATATAATAAAAAAATTGTATTTCAAAACTGCAGATTCGTCAGAATGATCGTCTAGCTGTTAATAAGTTGGTTAGTAGCTTGACACGAGGCA